AGCCCCTCCCCAGCTCTGGAATTTCGATACCCCTTTCTCCTCTTCTCCCCACTATCCCTACTCTCAGCATTTAACAGATCGCTCTCCTGGCTACTATTTCAGCAGACGTTAAAGATTTCTATGCTCTTTCTCCTTAGATAACTCACAGAGCCTCGTTCCTGGCGTATGGTGCCCAACGAGGACGCTTAGACAGCGGTAAGAATGTGTGCGGGTCTTCAAAGGGGCCTTCTTCATTCAAGGGAGTAAATATGAACCGTGAGAATTTCAAGAATTGGGTCAAGTCCATGAGAAGAAATTCCAGTCAATAGGGCCTTCCAGTTCCATCCAACAAACACTGCAAAGGCTGTTTCAGAATCTACCACTTCGTACCATAGGCAATATTTCCCCCCCTCCCTGTTTTTTTCTATCTCTAATTCATCTATTTAAAAAGTCTTCTTCTTCTATTATCCAATGTCTTTATTTCCTATTTTACCCAACCTTGACTTATTTCTGGAACAGTTAAGGGAACTCTAGGTCCTAGTCACAGTGCAAAGAAAAAAGAAACCTGGCTCCAGTTTTAGACCAAGGATTGAAGGTGCTTATTTTAACACCTTCGTGGACACAGAAAATGCCGTGACCTAAGACCCGGGACTCTACCGTGAAGGCTTGGCACCGCATGCGCCCACATTTGCTGCAATGCTCCCGTGATGGCTACTCTCTTGAGCTATGACACGAGTATGACAATGTTTATGCATGTAAATCTAACAGAATTCACGCAAACACACCGGATAAAAGGGGTTGGGGGAAAACACAGCCACAGCTTCCTACCAATATTTTGCACGTCGCTAGAGCCACACACCACCACATTTTCTGACATTTTGGGAACTGGCTTCTTCCGCTAATAAAAACATTTGCCATCCTATTTCACAGATAACAAAATGGAATTGCGAGAGGCAGTGGCAAAAAGCCCTTTTGGAAATAAGTAATACGTGACGTGTATCAATCCGTCCCTTAAAGATTTAAATACAGTCTTTAGAGCGGGGTCACCAGAAGAGTAGCTCTCAAACGTCATCCAGCTCAACAACGGATCCAACAACCTCAAGAGCAAAAATAAAACAGCGACAACAGAACATCCCGCTTCCTGCCGTATCCAAGTGGGTCACCGCTGCTTTTCCCTTCGCTCAGCCTTTCTTGCGGAGGTTTGCCAAGCCGGGATGTGGTCCCTGCCTATTTTAACTGCTAGAAGCGGTTATGGCCAAAGGAGGCTGGAGAACACAGCTCCAGAGCAGGGACGGGATGTGCTCGGGAAAGACGGGCTGAGATGCAGGTCGCCCCTGGGGAGGATCTGCCTTATTGGATACTTCTTGTTTTTATTGGTATTCATGCTTTCCTGTGGTCTTTTTTACCATTCTAAATTAAGAGCAGTGTTCACGCCTTAAAGGTGATTTGCAATTTTTTTTTAAATAAAAATGATCCAATCGTCCTATAAACAGCAGAGTTGCCATCTTCTCTAAATAGACCTGGCAAGCACTTCATCAGCCTTAAAATATCACCTCCTTTGATTTCCCACCAACCTCTAACCAGGGCCTCCCTCTCCTTCCCAGAGTTCCTTAAAGCGACGCCCTAGAATGTTCTAGGAGGACTCAAGGACCGGCATTAGTGCTGAGGAGACTTGGAAGAGGCAGGCCTGCGTGACCCACCAGGCTTCCTGTTTTCACACAGTGTCAAGCACCCTGCAGGGTTTCTCCGTTTTTTCATTATTCTCCTTGGCTGACAGAGTAAGAATATTAGCACTTAGGCAGTGGGATTAAAATAGCAAAATGTGAACCACAGGCAAAGTCTTAAAATCATTCTAATTTGCTGAGCACAGGTCAAAGCAGGGCTGGCTGGCTTACAAAGGGGGATGCAGGGTTTTCCTGCTGAACAAGCTTCAAAAAAGGGGGGAGAAAATAAAATAATGGAGTATTCTGGGGCTTGAATAAAATCCTGAGCGACTTTATTTTGCCCGACGTGGCATAATCCCTGCATGTAGCAGCCCCCAACGTCGCCTTCGAGCAATTCCTGGTGGCTTGGCTGTCTTAGCTGGGTAGCTCAGTTGGTTGGAGCATCACCCTGATACACCAGCGCTGTAGGTTCAATTCCCAGTCAGGGCACACACCTGGGTTGTGTGTTCAGTCCCCAGATGAGGCGCATACAGGGGGCAATCGATCAATGTTTTTCTTTCACATCAATGCCTTTCTCTTTCTTTCTTTCTCTCTCTCTCTCTCTCTCTCCCCCCCCCCCCCCGCCCCTTTCTGTAAAATCAATGAACATATCCTCAGGTGAGGATTTAAAAAAAGAAGAGGCAACCAATGAATACATACATAGGTGACAAATCTGTGTCTCTGTCTCTCTGTCGCTCTCTCTCAAATCAATAAAAATTTTAAAAAAATATTTTAAAGGATACTTCTACCATCTCTCCATGTGCTTAAAAAAAATTTTTTTATTATTATAAAAAGATACTCCCACCATCCAGCCATGTAGCCTGGGCAGTCAGTCCACACAACCCTGATCTCCCAACTGCCACCCTCTCCTGCGGCTGTTTTCACTGTCCTGCTGAGATGCCTGGAAGGCCTCACAAATGCAGACCCCCCAGGACCCCGTGTGCGGCACAGCCATCGTCCTCGGGGTGGAACAATCTACCTCCATCCCTTGTCTCACGCGAGCACACCTGCGGGCAGCCCCTGCGGGTGACCCACAACTGCCCTTCCCTCTCTCCTTCCTTCCAGAGCGGGGCAGCCTCGATTCTCAGCCGAGCGCAATCCTGGCCGGAACAGAGATTATATCTCCTAGGCTCCGTGGTCAGATGTGGCCACGTGACTACGTTCTGTTAATTACATAACAGAAATCTGTGGCATTTCTGCCAAGGACCCTTAAACGTGAGGGGCTCCCTTCTGCGCCTGCAATGGGTGTTCATTCCGTAGCCGGAACCCCAGCAGCTGCCTGGGATGGCAGGGTGGCCGGCCTTGCGGACGGAAGCCCGATGCCGATCGTGGACCAGCGAGGGGACCTGCACCCCGGTCCCGACAGTACCCGAGAGAGCCGCCCCCCCAACCCCTTCTGCCTGCCCCGGGCCCTTTTACAGGAGAGACGCGGAACCACCCACCTTGTTACGTGCCCAGAGACCAGCTGCGTGACTCACGGCTGCTGAACAAAGTACAGGGTGGGGCAAAAGTAGGTTCACAGTTGCGAGTCCATGAAACACAGAGTTTGTTCTTGCATTATTATTTATCAATTGCTGTATTGTTTTCCATACAAACAGCTGCAAACCTACTTTTGTCCCACCCGGCGTTAACTGATATGCCTATCACACGGTCCAGGTCTGTGCGTCTGCTCTGGGCAAGAAAGGTAACTTCCCTCCTCTGCAGAAATCCCTTCGCTCATCTAATGATTATATGTTTGGACAGGGCCCAGGAGGAAATACCAGCCTAGCATTTCCCCCACAGAAGCAAAGGCCTGAGCTGCACAGAATCGGCAGCCCCAGCCTCCTGCCACTCCAGTGCTACCAGCTCAACCCCCAGCACTGTCTGTCACTTGAAGCCTCACCGAGGTAGCCCTCTAGGTCTATGATGGGGCCCACTGGGCGGACATCGCCAACTTCACCGCTTGTGCCCAAACCAAGGGGGTCTCTGTGGGATAGCCAATGAATTTGTGCAACGTCTTTTGTTTCATTATTGCCATAAATAACAATAAATTGCAAGAACTCTAAGAGTGTACTGGAAGGCGCCCTCTAACTGTGCAAGGCCCTGCCGGCACCGTGCTGGGGTCCTAATCGCAGAACAACATTGATTATAATAGTGGTAACAAGAGACACAGCTGTTGCTCAATGACACGTGATGGCCGCTGCACCGCTTGGCCAGCGCTCCACAGACACACATTCTCTGGAATTCAAGTTACTATTACCCCTACTTTACAGAGGGGAAAACTGAGGCTCCAAGAGGTTAAGCAACTTGGCTAAGACTCTGCAGCCAGCTCATGGCAGTGATTAGCGCTGAATCCAGAACAGTCCGTGAGCTTAAAAATATTTTAGCTGTACAATCCTTTCGCTCAAAATATTGCACAACTAATCCTAAGAAAACTCCTGTTATTTCACTGCAGAACTGAAGTACAACAATCCAATCCCACCACCATTTTATAGTAGTGTGAGCAGTTCTTAAAACAAAGGGGGGAAAAAATGAAAAACCTGATAGAATTTGTCTGCAAATGGTAAATAATGCCCAAATACAAATAAAGCAAGTCACAAAAAGTGGTTTTTCTTCCTTCCACCTTTGCTAACAGTTTCGATTTCAAGGTGACCTATGTGTTTCCATAAGCAGGGTCATTATGCACCTTCCAATTCATAAACATCAAAACAGAAAAGAGACCCCTCCAACGGCACGTTCTTGTGTAATTACATTGCTCTGTGCCGTTCCTTTGGAAGCAAGTCTGAATTATTTCCCACCTCTTTGTTGAGCTTCCACTTTTATAAAAGGAAGGAACCCTGAAAGAAATCAAGCCCTTCAAGCGTGCATTGACGACGTCAAGCAATTTATCCAGGATCCAAACAATGAGTTAAAAACAAACAGGGAGGCGCAAATCAATCTTTCTATTAAAAATAAGAAAGGTGCATATGTGTGTGTGTGCATGTGTTGGGGAGGGGTGTTTGTATTCAGTTTAAAAATACGTACATATTAAAGACATGGTAATCACATTAAAAGTTTATTATTATAATAATTAATATTGTCATGGACCACGGAAAGCTGCAGAATTAGAATACACCCATGAGGGAAAAGTCAAACAGAAGGCTAGAGCGCCCTCTTTCTTTTCCTTGAAGAAATTCACCCAAACGGCTCTCCTAGGAGACCCGTCACCCAGCAGAGAGAGCGCCTGCAGCCTCTGAACGCAGGCTACAAGCACTAGAGCAAGTTTACTGGTAATTCATTATTCATAGGAGATTTAGGTAATAGGGGGGAAAGAGCACTTTTAAAAGGAGAAATACTCACAAAGCCATTTCAAACTGTTCCAGCCATTTTTTCTTTAAATCTTTTGTTTTGCAATAAAATTCTAACCCATTTTGTCCTTGGGTATGGATGAGGTAGAAGCCATAAGACCACTGTTAAAATTAATATTCAGGTTAATACGGATCATTCATTCATGATACCATGTTTCCAAATTCACTAAAACACCACCACAATCATAATCACCCACAGACCTCTCATACCATTAACAAACTGTGACCAATCAAGGTTACTGTAGTCAACTTCACATCTATAACGATTTCTATGCCAAAAGCATTTCACTGTCTTGACCACTAAGCCTTAGAGATGAACATATCAGCTGTGACATTGGCCAATTATTTCCTAATCAATTTCTAGAAACAAAAACACCTGAATCAATAAGCTCACACGAATGTATTAGCACACTCTCCTTGAACGTTCCAAGTTATGAGTAAATCACAGTTATTAATTTCCAAGAATTCACCTTTTTGTTTTCTTTATCAGTTGTAGGATTGTTGGCGATTTTGTACTGCTGAAGATCTATTATTTCCTTCATTTCATAGTTATCGCCTTTTCTTTTACAAACAATCACTGCCAAATCAAACAGGAAGATATGCCTGAGAGAGAGAGAGGGGGGAGAGAGAGAGGGAGAGATTGCTTTAAAATGGCTTAGGAACATGTCTTAGTTCTTTCCTTGTAAATGTAATTCAACCCCCCAAACATTTTTCCTGTGAGGCAAAGACAACGGCAGTGCCGCACTTTGAAAACAATCAACGGAGCCAGTTTTATCCCTTAACAAAATGAAGGGCCTGGCTGTGCCTCAGTTTCCTCATTCAAAAAACAGGCAAAATCCCAGGAACAACAGGCACACTGCAACCTGGCCTCAAGAAACCATTGAGATTGGCCGTGGAAAAGTGTTGCCATTGAACAATTACGTTGTCTTAGTGTAAAAGCTAAACATCTACAGGTTTAAAAGCTAAACATTTGTTTCATAAACATTAATGAAAACAAGGGCAGTTAACTTCTGCTGATGTTATTGAGGAGTCAGCCACAATGCCTTGAGCGTTCATCGCTGTCACAAAGACAATTTACATCCCCGGGACCAGGCCCGGAGGCAGACACCATCATCATCCTCAGTTCCTCGACGGTGCACCTGAGGCACAGAGAGTGAGCTGGCTCAGGGTCACGCTGCCGGCAAGCCGCTGAGCAGCGCCGCACCCGGTCTAACCGGTGCTTTTACCCTCCGGGTCGCTCCTCAGGACGTAAAGGATCACCCAAGACACAACCTGAGTGATCCGTGAGCCAAATGTAAACCAGAAAACTTACGGTTAAATTTACATGCTGCTATTTCTCTCATGAAAAACACTAAGTGGGGGTGGGGGAAGACTTTACAATACCATCATCCAATACCAACACATACTGGTATCTTTTTGAAAACTCTCAGTGACTTCCACGCACACATTTTTAAAACAGAGATAATGATGCATTCGTGTAGTTTTAATAACTTGCATCACTTTCAAAGCCTATTCTCCTGGAGATGCTAGAAGGATGTGGGTCTCCTGGGAGGTACCTGTGAGCCTGGGTGTCCGGGTGGAAGTAAGAGCTGATGCTGCCCCCTGCTGGCTGACTTTTTCATTTCCAAAGGTTCCAGAAAATGGCCATTGCAACCAAAATCACATACATATAATTAGGGACACCAGGCCAAGCTTACTAATCCTCAAGGAGTCTACCTGCAAATTTCCCTCCAGAAAGTCCCACTAAATGGTCCTCACTAAGACTTATTCCTTAGGAAATTTTGTATTACTTTCCGTTTTTTTAAAACATATACCCCCCCACCAAAAAATGGTGTTTTTAATGGTAGCTATCTATTGTTCCTTTCTCACCTTTCATTTTAATGTGCACTTCTTTTTACGCCAGCTGACATTCTATACTTGCCATTTCCTACTAAAGAACTTAATTTAGATAAATCAACAGATAACAGAACAGAGATGGAATAACATATCTATACGAGAAATTTTTATAAATCATAGGATCTTTGTCCCCTTGTTTTTCATCCTTTGTTCCCCTCCTTTGTCCTAGAGAAATTGATTTTAAGGTCTTCTCAACCTTCTGATACTAACTACCTATTTTGAAAACGCACGCTGGTCTTCCTCCTCACCTTTCCTGTTTGGCGTGCTTGTCCAAAGTGGTTATCCGGATTTCCCCGTCTCCCTGCGGCCGTCCAAAAAGCAAAACTGGTTGGTTCTAAAATACAGAATGTGCATGCGTCAGTTTTTCATAGTCACATAAAAACAGAAGCAAACATTAGTGAGGACATTCGTGAAGAATAACTACTTTATCACATTACAAATGTTACCGTTTTTACATTTTTAATACACTTACTCTAAAAAGCTCAGATCTGTATGATACACTTTCAACAAGGCTGTCCTTGATCATCCCAGGAGGTAACACTGAGGACACTCATTAATTTCACTTAGCACCCTAACGAGGAAGTTAGCTACCAAAAAAGAGAGTTAATTGTAAGAGTTCAAATCGTAAGGTGAAACGATACAGGCAGGGACTATATCATTTCACATGGGACATCCGTGTGGGGACCAAGACACTTACCGAACTGTGATTACACATGTGCCGTTGCAGGGAAGGAAGAGGACAGGAGGCACTCAGAGCCGGACCTACTTCAGTTTAGGGCGTCAGGGATGGTCCCTGACTGAGAGCTCAAGAATGAAAAGTTCTGGCGTAATGATTAAAAATAATGAGCCATTTAGGTTTCTTCCACATCTTGGCTATTCTAAATAATGTTACGATGGACCCAGGGGGCGTTGTGCTAAGTGAAATACACCAGACAGAGGAAAGACCAATACCACATGATTTCACTAATGTGTGGAATCTAAAAAACAATGTAAACAAACAAAACAGAAATTCATAGATACAGAGAACAAACCGTTGGCTGCCAGATGGGAGGGGGGTCCGGAAGGATGGAAAAGGGAAGGGATCAAGACGTACAAATTTCCAATTATAAAAACAGTCACAGGGACGCAAAGTACAGCATAGGGAACATAGTCAATAATCATAATAACTATGGTGTCAGATGGGTACCAGACGTATCAGAGTGATCACTTCACAAGTTATATAGATGTCTAACCATTATGTTCACTACGTGGCTTACCTCAAACTAATATAATATTGTATGTCAACTGTAACTGAAACATTAAAAAATTAAAAATATAATAACGAGCCATTTCCCAAGAAGCAGATAATAAAAATAATTTTAAGTATTTACAAACACCTTCTGTACGAAGTGCTAAAGGAAAAAAGAATTGACTAAAAATTAGCACTAGTATCTAGGGGATTACACCTAATAAAGGAGACAGATAAGCAATTAACTACACTCCACAGAATTATAAAAATAAGTGTTTCCTATCAAAATCCCAATTCTTTTTTCACAAATAGAAAACTCCATCCTAAAGTTCATATGGAATCTCCAGGGACCCTTAATAGGCAAAACAATCTTGAAAAGTAACAAGGTTGGGGGTCACACTTCCTGACTTCAAAACTTACTATAAAGCTGTCATAATCCAAACAGTGTGGCACTGACATAAAGATAGACTTCTAGACAGTGGAACAGTATGGAACACCAGGCAGAGGTCCTCACATATGTGGCCAAATGCTCTTTGACAAGGGTGCCAAGTCCATTCAGTGGGGATAGGACAGCCTTTGCAACAAATTGTGCTGGGAAAACTGGACACTCACTGGCAAAGGAATGAAGTTGGAACCTTACCTTCCAATGTACACAAAAATTAACTCAAAATGGACCAAAGAGCTAAGAATATAAAATGCTGAGAAGAAAACGGGGGAAGGTTTGTGACAGTGGATTTAGCAATGACTCTTCGGACATGACACCAAAAGCACAGGCAACAAAAGCAAAGATTGGGAAGTTGGACTTCATCCAAATTAAAAATATTAGGCATCAAAGGACACTATCAACCAAGTGAAAAGGCAACCCACAGGATGGGAGGAAATAATTTGCAAACAAATCTGTGATAAGGATGCTATTCTTATCAATGTGTAGAAGGCTATGTGTATATAGAACTCTTACAGCTCAACAACAACAATAAAAAACACAGCCTTGATTCAAAAACAGGTAAAGGACTTGAATAGACACTTTTCCAAAGAAGATATGCAAATGGCCATGAGCACATGAAAAGATGCTCAGTATTACTGATTATTAGAGAAGTGAAGAGTAAAAAAATCACAGTGAGATAACACTTCACACCCACTTGGATGGACGTTATCAAAAAAAAAAAGGCGTTGGGCGTTGGTGAGCAGGAGGGGTCACCGGACTCCTGTGTGTCGCTGGTGGGACTATCGAATGGTGCAACCACTGGGGGAAGCAATATGGCTATTCCTCAGAAAAGAAAATGCAGAACTACCACACAATCCAGCAATCCCACTTCTGGGTATATAACCAAAAGCAGAGAAATCAGGGTCTCAAGAGAGAGGGGTGCACCCATGTTCACGGCAGCATTATTCACAACGGCCCCGAGGGAAGCTACCCGGGTGTCCACAGACAGATGAGTGGATGTAAAAACGGGGGGGGGGGGGAGGGGGTAGAGCCAATCAACGTTATATCATTCGACCTTCAAAAGGAATTTAAAAAAAAAAAAGAGGAAATTCTGACAGCTGTGACAACGTAGATGAACATGGAAGACATTACGCGACATGAAATAAGCCAGTTCCCGAGAGGTCAGACATTGTATGATTCCACTTCTATGTCCAATTCATAAAGACAGGAAAGCAGGAGGGTGGTTGCCAGGGGCTGGGGAGGGGAAAATGGAAACACAGAGCTTCCGTTTTGAGAAAAGGCGTTCTGGAGACGGACGGCGGTCTTGGCCACACAGCAATACGACTGTGTTTAACATCACAAAACGGTACACTTCAAAACGGCAAACTTAATGTTCTATATATTTTACGACAATCTTAAAAAATGCTAAACAGCTGGCCAGGCAACATGCTATGTAATTACAAAAAGAAAGGGATAATGGGAGGTTAGGGAAAAAGATTATTGAAATTGGACCTTGAAGGAATTTTGATGAGACGTTATGGGAAAAGACATTCTAGGCTCTGACAGTATTACGATCCAAGGCAGAACTATAAAAAAGTAAAATGTTTGGCAAACTGGAAACCTTCCGACACAGCAGGACAGGTGCGAGGCAAAGCGTGGGGGCCGCTCTCGGCTGGGTGGGTTCCGGAAAATCAGGAAGGGGCATAAATGCCGTGCTAAGGGATGCTGACCAAGGCCTGAAGGCCACAGAAAATCCGACCCGTTTGGAAAAGAGAGTGAACTGAGGAATCCACACTGGGAATTGCAACTATGTGAAGAGACGGTGACAGGCGACTGTCACTGGGAAAGCAGCGGCTGAGGTCCAGAAGTAAGGAAGCTGCCGTACAGGTGTGAAAAGAGAGACACAGGCTCAAGGTGCTTCAGAGAAAGAAGCAACGCGACTGCTCTACCAAGCAAAGCACCGTAGATGCCCTCACTTGTCTCCATTTTCACTGCCCGCAGCCTAGCCCAGGCCTCCCTGCTCTGCGCCACACCGGCTCCGCGCGCCGCTCTGGCTGCCGGGAGGGTTTTCGTGAAAACCAAATCAGACTGTAAAACTCTGGAATAAAAGCCTTTTGCTAGGGCACCCCGACTTAGTGACCTACAGGCTGTGGGGTGGGGCCCCCGTGCCCCACTGCAGAGCCCCCCTTCTTCCTTCCTCTCTCAATTTCTGGCCACGCTGGCCTTTCAGCACCCTGGCCTCCCCTGGCTCTTGCTCACCTCTGGGCACTTCTCGGCCGGGGTCCCTCTCCCCTGCCCCCATCCTTGGGCCACTGGCCTCTTCTTCTGCTCCAGGTTCAAGAGGCAAGTGACCCAGCAGGGTTCTTCCTAACCCTCGTATCCAAACGAGGGCCCCCCTCCTATCCTCAGCTGTTACCGCCCCGTTCACAGCGCTCGCCCAAAACAGCGTTTTCCAACTCTCTCTTTACTGCTGCCTCCACCAAGACGCGGGGTTGTTCGGAGTCACAGCCCCAGCCCCAAGCGAAATGTCTGGCACACAGCAGTCACCCAGCAAATACACATACAATGGGGAAAGGCAGAGGAATCGGCCCTGAGCACGTCCGGGGGGAGGGAGCGAAGAGAGGAAGTGGACTCCGAGGGCCAGGGTTTGACTGCTGGGGAAGAAGACGCGGGGCGGTTCTGGGGAGGGGGGCGGGGCGTGGCAGAAAGTGCCCGGACAGTGATCTGTCACGGGTGCCACGGACATCCATGGGGATGCTGCCACACAGGAATCAGAAGAAAAAAAAAAAACAACCTAGAATTAGAAACTTGAAGGTAAACTATTTTTTCTTCCAACACGACTCTGGGAGTGCCCCCCAGCGTGCGGGCTGGGAGGGGCGGGAAGAGACGGGCGATAATTACATACCAGATTTTCTATAGAGAGCTGAAACTGCTTAATTTCACGGAGGGTCTCATTATCTCTCTTCACTTCGTTCACATATTGTGCCAAGTCCTAAAGAATAAAGAGACGAGGACAAAAGGAAGGCACGATAAGATCGGAGAAGAGACGAGCGCCATTTGAAAGGGAGCACCTCATTAATTTCATGAGCAGCAAAAGTATACGGCTTTCCGATGGCAATCAAATGAACGCCCAATCAATCAAAGCTGCTCGTCAAGAGCATGTTAAAAACGTCGGCAGGACAGCTGGGAAGGCTGGAGAGTTGTCACCCCCATACCCCTGAGTCGGGATGAAAAACAAACAAAATATGCCCCCACGCAGAACAGCAGGTCAGGAGCATGTAAATGCCAAACACATGAACAACGGACCTTGAGAGAATTACATCTTACGTGGGTTGGAATAAGGGCGACCATAAAGGCTCAGCGGAGCTCTGGCAGGGTAGCTCAGTTGGTTAGGGTATCGTCCCTGTACACCAAGGTTGTGGGTTCGACCCCCCAGTCAGGGCACATAGGAGAATCAACCAATGAGTACATGAATAGGCGGAATAACAAGTAGCTGTCTCTCGCTGTCTCTGTCTCTCTCTCTTTCTCTCTCTCTCTCCTTTTTCTCTCCCCTCCCTCTCGCTCTAAAAATCAGTAAGTACGTTTTAAAAGGTTAAAGACTCAGCAGGGAGGAAAAAGCAACTGAAACTTAGGCAGTGAATCTGGCAGGGCTGTGTTCTGCAATCAGTTCATCTCCACTCCTGAGAGCATTCAGTCATGGAGCCGGTTCCCCCTTGAAGATTTGATAGGGAAGGAGGAAGGGAGAGAAAGCGGAGGGAGCTCAGGGAACCAGAGCGAGCAGCGCGCACTGGCCCCGTGGCTCCGTGGCTCCGTGGCTCCGTGTGCCGTCACCTATTTTAAAACGTCTGTTCTCGTGTTTAGGGAAACATCAGTTAATCTTTCCACACTGTAATAGCTATTTTTATTACATGTGCTCTAGATTTCCCAGTTTTCGAGGTTCTTTACTGCCCTCCCTTCTCCTCAATTCATCTGAAACAGTAGGAACAGAACTCGGACAAACGGCAGCGTCTAACTTTGTTCTAAATGAAAGTCTGACTTTTCATAGGATGTATCGACACTCTAAGTGATTTCTTTCAAAATTAGACATGTATGATTTTTTTATAAAAATAAATGACCGCGTGATGTTTCCTGACAAGGCACTAAAGCCAGCTCAGTGGCGAGCTGACCCTAAAGGCACAGGGACACAGAGAACTATCATTGTCCTGAGCAGAGTCCCATTGGCATTTTGCTTGGAGGACACATTTGCTGTGTTTTAAATTAGGGAAAAGTATTTCTTTCAAACTCCAAGTCCAGCATAACGTGGAAATTGGGTTTTATAGATTCCCCATAGGTTCAAAAAGTCGACCTCTATCTCCTCGTTGTTGCTGACTTTCAGGTTTACCTGAAAATAGAAACCCAAGCTGAAACCCACGGGTGCTGGTGCACAGCGCCCGCACAGGGAGCCTGGGGGCAGCCTCGCCTGGGGGAACAAGTCCCGCCTGCGTTCCCGAGTGGCCAGCGGACCTGACGCTTGCACAAGCCGACCGTCTCCGTTAGTAACCATGCAAAGAATGTCACAGAAAACCAGGACACGAAAGCATTCCTGGCGGTGGGGCCATTGTCATATGCCCATAAGTAACAACAGTTGTTTCAATACACCCCTTGGTTTTACGTGGTGTTGTCTAACCATTAAAGTCATGGAAACATATCCATTTCAGTTAAAAATAGCTAGCTCTCCCCACAAAACTATACAAATTCTTATATGTGTCATAATATACATTAACATGCCGTGCGCATGTATGAGCAGTTTGTAGTCTTTTGCTCCCGGGCAAAAATAAACACGGCAAAGCCAGGCACGATGTGTCGCTTTACCTTCATTGCATCAAGAGCCAGCTTCAGATTCGCCTTCTCCACGGGATCCATGGTGTGCTTGACCAGTTCCTATTTAGAAGATCCAGTTTAGTGCTATTTTCATCAAATTAACACCCAAACGTAAGAAAGAAGACACTTAAAAACAAACCCTTGTATGCAGATTTGGTGCAGCCACAAACAGTACGGGGTTTCCTCAAAAAATCAAAAATGGAACTGCCTCATGGCCCAAACCGTTCCAACCTGACAGGTACCAACCTCACGCGCTCTCCCCCCACCGGCTCTCGCTCCTGTTCACCTTCGCTTGCACCACGGCCCCTCCACCAGCCCGGCCACGTCAGCCAACGCCCGAGAGGTCTCACAGACACCCTGCGGCGGCTTCTCTTGGATGCTTCCCCTTGAAGCCATCCTCACCCCCACGGGCTCAGCCGCGTCCTTTCTCCTTTCCGACGGGTCATGGTTTCTGCATGGTCCGCGCTACAGTCTGTTCACTCCACGACATCAGGGCCAGGTTTCTAAAATGGAAACCAGACCCTGCCCCTACCGGACTTAGACTTTGGTGACGCCCACAAAAGCCTCAGGGGGTCGCCCGGGTCTCTTAGACCCCTCATGATCTGAATTCTGCACCCCTCACGCAACTGCTCTCTCCACTTCCTTCCCGACAGCCTACATTCTATCCGTACTAAATCAACTGCAATTCTCAAAACAATTCTAATACCTGAACCCATTGGGCACGCTGTTTTCTCTCCTTAGAAAGCTCTTCCTCTCTGATCCACCTGTCAAACTCTTATTCTACCTTCAAAGCCCGATTCAAGAATCACTTCTCTGCAAAGCTTTCTATAACAAAAGTCAAGTACACAGTCTCCTTAAGCATGATTGACAAGGCCTTTATTTGTACCGCCTCCACACCTATGCATGCCTGTCACATTGTGCTGTTCTTGGCAACTTACACTTCATTTTCCCCATCTCAACAGCGAGCGTAATCAGTGCGGGAGGCTGTTTCATAGCCCAAGTGCCCAATGCTGTGAGTGCGGCAGGGGAGCCCTCAAAACCTATGCTGAATTTAACACCAGTCGTGTTGCTGGTATTAAATCTGACAAGTGTAATAAACTTGTCAAGTTTTCATGTTTTTACTTCTATTTTTACTTTTCCCTTATTAAATATTAATAGTAAATTATTCTCAAAGTTGCAAATTCCCCACTCTAAAATATTCTAATTTTATCAACCTGCAATTTCCAAGCATGAAGCATTCCAAAAATGACTCCCCCAGCAGAGTGTAGTAGCAAGTAGGAAAGGTTTGGAGTCATACTGCAAGCATGCAACAGATTTTGAAACACCAGACAAACAAATTCTACTCTACACTCTTTTGAGATGGAAACACACTTCTAGAGTTTTTTTCCTAGGTGTGGCAACCCACATAAAACATTTCCTGTTTTAAAAAATCATCATGGGAAAGAATATAATCTTTCCGTGGCAATTGGCCTGCGCAAGTAACAGCAGAAGGGATTATGTCCTCCCGCTCCCGCATCAGGCTGCCCACGGCGCTGCCTTCCGCCTACAGCGGGGACCAGCCGTCTGTGCCGACGCAGCTCGGCCTCCGCGAGAGCCTCTCCTCCTGTTAGAACCACGCGGCTGGTTCTAGCCATGCCTCTTTGTTCTCACATCTTCTGCTCCTAAGAACGGTTCTAGTATTTCACAGTATACGGCTGTGTTAAACTTGCTGGCAAATAATTTTTAACACTGCTTGACCTTTCACTTCTCGTTCTCTTTTCTTCCCTCCTGGCAGCCCATCCGTAGGTGTCACATTAATCATCGAGGGAACATACAGGTCAGATGTGTTACAACCTCAAAAATTCTTGGTTTCAAAAAAAATGCCCGATTCCTCGTTTAAATCACTGAGGCCTGAGACTCCAACTCATGCTACTCATCATCATGGTTTCGTTTCTTGCTGTACTGAAATTGCTCCTGTGTAATATCTGTACTATTTCTATCTAAATCTGCTAAATAAGCTCATTAATCTTGCTTTCACCTTTCTTTGAGGTTTTCTCTACAAAAAGATGGGGCAAGGAGACTGATCTACCCCAGTTAGGCAACCAACTTAACTAAACTGGGATTTGTAGCTCCTTATAATTCAACGGCTCAAGTTCAAACTCCTCTCAATAAATTTATTTATAGAAGTAAAAATAAATGTGCATATTCGCAATAGCTAAAAGGTGCAAACCACTCAGACGTGCCTCGGTGGGTGAACAAAGGTGCGGCATCTGCGTAACGGAATGTTCTCCACCCCTGAGGAAGGAAGTGCGGACACACGCCACCACGGGAATGAACCTTGAAGGTGAGGCGCACACACAAGGACAAACGCTGGACGATTCTACCAACAGGAGGCATTTAGAACAGTCACATTCGCGGAGACAGGCGTGGAATGCCTGCTACCAGAGGCCAGGGTCCAGGGGCACTCCAGGGTAGGGAGTCTCAGTGAGGCAAGTGAGAAAGTTCTGGAAACGGATGGTGTGATGGCTGCACAATAAGGTGAATGTACTTGGCGCCATGAAACTGTACACTTTAAAATGATGAAAATGGTCAATGTTATATCTATGTTTTCCCACAATAAAAAAAGATGTGCATGCAGTGCCTTTAAGAAAATTATCGTGGAACGAAACACCCTTTCAAAATTTAAAATATAAAACATTCCAAGAGGAATTAGGAAAATGTTTGCTACGTTTCATAGAAGTACAGTCATAGTTTATACTTTTATAAGTCTATCTAAAATCTTTTAAGTGACAAAAATAGGTGTTTCTTGAAAACTGCACCTTCTCATTTCTTCAGTTGATATTTGACTATACCAAATTGCAAAATAAATTGTTATCTTATTTTGGACATGTTTTTAGTTCCATGATGTCTCAGAAACTGATTGCTTTAGTCTTTCTTATTATTTTTTCATAAAATCCAATTTGATTAAGTCGCTCTGAGTTTAGGCCCATAAATGTTTTAATACATTTTTAAGAAATAATCAGGGTTTGGATTTTTCTGATTTCTCAGTAGAACAAAAATAGAGATGACTAATATTTCTGCGGCTACAGTTTAAGAAATTTAATATACAAGATGTACAAAGCGCAGAAGACTCAAAATGACATTTCACATAAAGGTAGCAGGTCTTTTTAAAATAACATTCTACAAGCATCAGCAAAGTTGACCGACTAACACAGTGAGACACTTCTGTGAAGCGGAACTAATGAGTCTCCTGGTACATCTATCAAATTAAATTTATAAGACTCTCCACCCTCATTAGAGGACTAACCGTGGAAACCATAAGCTTTCAGGTTGTAACAAGAATCACTTCAAAACAAAGATAGTCTTATGATAATTTATGGTAGCAGAAAGCAAAACAGAACGTGACACAGTTCCCTTCAGGGTGTGGTAATGAGGCAAAAGGTGAAACAGAATCAACCTACAAAATTCAGGTGTATCACAATATTGAGATTCTAATAAGCGATTATTACTAACTACGAAGGACTTGGCTGAAGGGATCTTTTTATTTGTTTTGTCCTGTTTTTATTTTAATTTTTAAATGCATTTGGAGCCAGTTCTGTTTGAAGGACATGAAATGAGAGTTTGTGAAAGATACAGGATCATCTTTGCTAAAAGGAAGGAAAGGTTTCCGGCTGTTCTAGTATTTCCCATTTAGCTCTACTAATAATTGAACATTGTAAGGGGATTGGGCGCCAGACACAGAGTACCTGGTGCATAGCTGATGCTCGTTAATATTTTGTTGAGTGAATAAAGGAACAAATGACCAGGCAGGTTTAACTGACATACCTGGAGGAGAAGGTGATACTTCAAAACACGCTGCATTGGGACCACAAGCAAATCTCGAAGAGTGAATTTCCCATTATTGGCTCTTTTGGAACATTCCTAGTGAAATGTGTTTTAAAAACATTTGTTAGAAACATTGTTGTTTTGTCAAAGGGAGTCGTAACACAGACATGAAAAAATGCAAAGGCCGTCAACAAAACTGTTATTGCATGATAAATATCTTGTTTTCCTTCTTAACAAGACTTCCTTCTAAAAAATAGAAAGTGCCTTCAATTAAAACCAAAACAAAACAAAAAAAAAAAAAAAAAGCAAACCAACCTTGCACCATTTCAGCCCCAAACATGACTGGATAAGTAGAATGAGGGTCTTCCTCCACTGACACCGGCAGCGCTGCCTTTCATGAATCTTGCCCAAACCCCGGCCCACCCACCCCGCCACATGTCTCCCACCCTGGCACCTCGGGTCCCCCCTTCTCTCCAGCTGCCATGTGCTTTGTCCAGTTTCCATCAAAATGCATCATTCTTTTCAAAAACGATACTTCTAGGCCTTCTGTAATAATCCCAGTCAAAATGGCGCTGGCTCTCTGTGTGCCTTGTAGGCCTTTTAATTATTGTGGTGCATCATACCTTCCCCAGTACGTCTCCTATACCTCTAAAAGGCTAGTATTTGCTTTATAAATATTTGTTGAACTGTATGAAATGGAAGGATTGACTCCGAAAAATGTGCTAAAGTATAAACCCAACACTAGTTCCAATGTTTTGAAAGCCTCAGATGTATTTTTTTTTTAATCTCACACTCTTCTTTCTTAAAAGTGTATCTTAAACTAATACTGACTTGTTTGTTCTCTGGATATTAATTATGACTTTGAGGAAAATACTTTGAAGTTGAAGTGTCAAAGCCTGAATTTAAATCAAGTTTGGCAACTCTTGGATGTATGACCTTGAACAAGTTGCTTTTCTGATTTTACTGTTTCTCACATATCTTTAGTGTAGTTCAAAAAAAAAAAACAACCAGAGTTTATAAAAAATATTATTATTAGCAGGCAATTTAATAAGTCCAAAATCCTCAGACAATTGCACATCCAAGACCAAAGAATTTGGAAAGAGTTCAGGACAGGAGTTATGTTCAAGGAAATATTCCTTTGCTCATGCCTCTGTGTCCCTTCGCCTAAACCTCGGTTTTCCGAAATATAAACACATATATTATCAGAAGCTATAAAGCAAACTCCACTAGACCTATGAGCACAGTGAATTAATGAGTGCTTGGCAGCAGATCGTAAGCAAGAAGAAAAGTTAGCTCCTGTCTTGTCAATTGTGGCAGATCACTGGAAAGATAACTATGTTAACAGAGTCATTGCTTCTACAGATTAGAGAGTTCTGAATCCTGGGTCTCATATAAGGGGTTAAACTGTTAATTCTATTGTAACGAAAGGGTCTCATCTCCCTGTTATACTTCAATCAAGCACCTTAAAGTTGAGGTTGTCTCTTACACTTCCTATATTATGACATCTTAACACAGTGTTAGGAACAGAAAGTTTATACTCTTCAAATTCACTTTGTTATGTGATGGAAGTCAGTTTGCAACCTGTTGGGGAAAAAATTAGTTCCTTTGAGTCATCCATTACAGGCTCGGGAAGTAAAGAAACTTGACGTTGCTGATGTTTTTCTACAACCAGGAGCCTGAGATCAAGGTGCAAAATGCTTATTAGCACTGAAAGTGAATGAAGAGAGGAAAGGATCCTTCCCATACCTCCAGTCGCACGCTTAGCCTAAACTCCAGTTATAACTGAGAAGAAGATACAATAAATTAGGGATGAGTCAGCTTGCTGGACGAGATAGGACTCTATTACCCTTTACCTTTACCTCATGTTATCTTGGTTCCAAAGTCGAGAAGAAAAAGACAAAAATACAAGAGCAAAAATAACCACAAAAGAGAAGACATGAAGGAGGCGGAGAGACGCCAAGAACCAGGCAGCCTTGCCTCCGCCAGGCTAGGACCTGCCGGGCACAGTTCCGGCCAGGAGCATCAGCTGAGGTGTCGCAGTGGGGATCTGGTTAAATGCCTCCTACCCAGGCCCATGGCCACTGGTAGGGGCAGGACAGTGGGACAGTCAGCAGCACCTCGCCCTGAGCCTGCAAGTGCAGCCTGAGGCCCTCCCTTCCCCTGAGAGTCGCGGTGACTGCAGGGACGGGGCTCCTAGAGTCCCAGAGGAGCATCATTGGGCAGGACTGGGACAGTGACGCTGCAAGAAGGGGCAGGAACATTCAACGATGCTGCGAACACAATGGACGGTTGATTGACACTTCGCTGACTCCTGTCTGGAGTCAGAATTTATCTCTTTCTCTGAAACTGCTTTAATGACAGCTCTATTAGGAACGAGGTATGTACGTTGTGAAGGTTTATCTCACCGCCATATTTTAATTTAAGTCAAGGTGGCTTCTAGTTCTACGCTTATGAGGCTCCTTTCTCCAAAGAGGAGTAGGAACCCCCTGGCAAGGTTGTCAGGGTGCTATTCAGGAGTGACTCAAACCATCTCCAGACATGAGGTCCGCGTCGCCAAAGGACTGGCAAACTCTCTCACCAGGAGCTCCCCTCCGTGGGAATTAGGAATTAGGAAATCCCACCAGATCCGCCAGAAACAGCGAAGGGCTTCTGATGTGGAAACCACCTGCTCTTTGTTCCCCTGTTCACCACTTGAACAAAAATCAGCAAAGAGGGTTTAGCCAATGAAACCACGCAGAGCCATTGAAGAAGCGACTCTGCAGCTCCACCTGAAATTTAAGAAAATCCCAACATACAGATGATAGATTTGAGGTGATAGCCATATAACACATAAGCAATCATTTTTTAAAAGCTCGTTGAAAGGGCAAAGTCTTCTTATGGGGCGGGGGGTTGGGGGGGATGGACAGACCTACCAAGCTTCTGGACTTATTTTCCACTGTTGCCATGGGCTCTGGTACAGTGACCTACGAGCCCCTTCTCTCACTTTCCCAACTCTTCTGGGCAAGACATACTGATCCTTCCAGAATGCTCTCCACGGAATCTCATCTGTCAAGACTCACCCCATTCCTCAGCAACCTGACTTCACGCCCCTTCAGGGGAACCTCCCGCCTTCCGCTTCTCCTGGAGTCGCACGCACGGAGTCCTGTCCATCGGCGCGCGTCACCCGCTACCTTGTGCCATTATATCTGAGTCTGTCTTGTCTCCCTTCGTGTGGGCACCGTGCCCTGCTTATGCACCTGCCCCTAAACGTCTCACATTCTTAATCAACACTTTGAATCTTGCATACATTATCTCACATGTATCTTACTCATCCTGCACCTCTTACAACCCAGGGCCTCACCCTGCCCGGCCATAACACGAAGGAATTAACTGGATAGATCTCACAGTCATGAGGATCTAATGAGGGGATGTGCAGGACACACAGAGCCATAGTCTGAGGTTTTCCAACTGTTACCACCATATTACTATTGTATAGAGCTACCTATTAATACATTGTATAAAAGTGCCATTAAATTATGTTTAGAATGCACGGGGAAATTCACGGTGGCATTGATCACGAAAAGGAACACATAGGTTATTTCACAAAAAAACAGACACACAAAAATAGCAGGCACCTCTAGTTTCAGTTTGACGTCTTCTTTTGTCTTAGAGATGTTGTCCAAACTCGAGATGGCCGACTCCACTGCGCTGCAGTACTGCCCGTAGATGACCAGCCTAGAAGGGAAGGAGGCAGGGAGGCAGCTGCGGGACAGAGGGCAGGCACACGAGGGCAGGGGGGCCACAGCCCCATCCCTCTAGAACCACCTGTCCACACCCCTCCCGCCGGGGTTGCCCTGGGCAAACTACAACCTCCCTGCGCCTCAGCGTCGTCATTTCTTTTTAACGCGCACCTCCCAGCCTCCCATACGGCCACAGAACATGGGTCCCTTCTATTTGGTATGAAAAAAATGGCTATTTTTATTTCTAAGTTTGAATAGGATTAATTCCATGTACATTTTTACAGCAGGTGGATTTTAAAACCTGGCTTAAAGGCTGTTGATGTCGAGTAGAAATGTGTATCACAAAACAAAATTTACAATTTCTGTGTAAGGTTCTACTAAATAAATGTCTACTCACTATGTTGTACATCCGAAACTAATATTGCATGTCAACTGTCAAGTCCCTATTAGAGATCAGCTTTTTAGTGTTTACTCACACTCAGAAAGTGTTATTTTATGCTACAACTTTATTGTAATCGCCACATTTGACTCCATTCAATAATAAGCCTCCTACTCCTTCCACCTTTTTAATTAGGAAATTGCATTATCTGAGGAGAGGAACCAGAGGCCTGAGCCATGCAGGGCACCAGGCGAGCCTCACGTGGATTCTGCGCCTGCCTCTGAAAGGGCGTCTTGGGAGGAAGGGGGGCATTTTGCAAAGAAGCTGGGTAATTTGTTTCCTTAAACTCTCCATTAGAAAAAAATCTAGTAAGAAGTTAATATTTATCTCATTGTTGATATAAATAAATTTATTAGCCATCTCTTAGCGCTGGAAATGATAGTGCTTGGTTTAAAATTGTAAGCAAAATTCCTAATTCATATGTGTTGTTCAGATTTTTTTTCCAAGCTGACCACTGTGGCTCAGTTGGTTGGATGTCATCCCATGAAGCAAAAGGTCACCAGTTCAATCCCTGGTCAGGCCACATGCCTGGGTTGCGGGCCAGGAACCGATCGATGTTTCTCTCTCATATCAATATTTCTCTCCCTCTCTTTCTCTAAAAATAAATAAGTAAAATCTTTTTCTTTTTTAAGAGTTACAGAGCTGTAAAAGGATCTACACTGACTTGTAGTGCAAAAGTCTGGATCTTTTTTGTTTTTTCCTTTTTTTTTTTCTTGATATACATAAGAGCTCAGGCTGCCACCAGAAGGGCAATTGTCCCATGTTGTAGCTGCTGCCCAGATGGTGTCTTAGTGAACAATAGTAATACCTATTTATGAGCAATGTTAACTCTAGCCCTCACTATGATGACAAACTAACAGCCGCAAAACTTAAAATTCCCAAATTACCTTTCCTTGTAGTTAATGAAAATTTGATACAAATTCTGGTCGTTTTTATTTACAATGGAATCATGAATTTCTTGCATTAGGTTCCGATGAACTTTTACAAGCTCCTTAGAAAAGAAAACAATGTTAAAGTCAATTAGAAATCAGAACCCCTCCCCCCAAAAAAACCACCCCAAACCCATAATCCCAGCTGCTGCTCGACCTGCCGTCCGAGGACATGCTGAGTGCCCTCAGAACGTGAACCGGCTCCCATCAGTAAAGAGAGGAGGAAGAGGAGGGGGTGGGAGAGGAATGGGAGAGAAGGAGGAGAGGGAAGGGGAGGGACGAGGGAGGGAGAGTGACAGGCCGTGTGCCTGGGAAACGGCGGTTTCAGATCTGGCTAGAAATACTAATCTCCTGTGGGGTGGTTGGGGAGTTATTTCATTAGTTATTAAAGGACAATTTATTCCTTGTATAAAAATATGTACAGCGCCTTTTCATTTTGTAATAATTCTAAATTTTTCAATAAAACTACCCAAGTGCTTAACGGTTTATTCACAAGATCAGCAATGGTCCCGTCCTCGGGACGTGAGGGTGCAGATCCGCGCTTTGGCCACTTAGCGCGTCCTTGGCTAAGCTAACAACAATCAGGCCGAGTTACCTGGAACGAGACAACTCAAGGCAGAAAGAAGGGCAGAATAAATTGCACTAGGCAGTTTATTAGAGCAACCGGCATGTCAGAATTTCATCTTTCTCCTAATAAGCAAGTGATTGTCCGTAAGTATGTGTGACAGCCAGGAAAGGAGGACATGGCCCCGAGGTGCCAATGCCTGGCTGTCTGTCCCCATGCCTGCAGGCCCTCAGGAGGGCGGGCAGGGACCAGAGCCGTGGGGCCTGCCTCCTGCCGAGGGGCATGGAAAGACCGTGCGGGTAACTGTCCAACGGGCCCGCAGTTACAGGGGCCAGACTTAGGGGGTTTGAAAGCCTCCTCTTCCTGGGCCGTGCACGTTGCTGCATCCTGAAAGTTCACCCAACGTCACAACCACCTTTTCCTGCTGTGTCACGCATCAATGAGAATGCCTTGGTTCGGCCAAAATCAAGGACAGGAGCAACGTGCCATGGCTACAGCGACTGGTGCGCATCAACAGTGGACATAACAGAATCAAAATATAAGGGACCACTAGCCCTGGCTGGGTAGCTCAGTTGGTTAGTGTTGTCCTGATACGCCAAGGTTGAGGGTGTGATGTCGAGTCAGGGCACGTACAAGAAGCGACCAATGAATGCATAAATAAATAGAACAAATCGATGCCTCTTTCTTTCTCTCTTTCTCAAATCGACAACTAAAACTTTTAAAATAGATACCAGCAAGCCTGTACATAAAGGCTTACATATTATCTATGAAAAGCTACATATTAAAACCAAAGCCGATGCTGGAGGTCTGAGACCTAGAGTCTGGCCTCCTAGCACGACCTCAGTTGGCACAGCATTTGGATGGCTTCAGTGCTTCCACACAAATATTCTTTAAGGATTATAGGATAACTGGAAGGTGCTCTGAAACTTGAAATGCCTCCATAAACCTTAAAAAAAAAAAAAAAGTTTCCTCACATGGGACCATTAACATGGGCTGTCGAATCCTAAGGCCCAGTAGGGCCCTTCAGAAACAGGAGTTACGGATGGCACAACTAGAAGCAGAAAAGAGACACCAGGACAGTGGAGGACAGAGGGAAGTAGGACAGACAGAAGGAGTCAGGACGTGGTTCATACGGTGGGGCCGAGGGGCTAGAGGAGCGTAGAGCAGGGAGCAGGGCGGAAGGGCTCTCTCACAAGACAGAGACCCGAGTCCCTACTTAACTGAGACTGTCTCATCATGACAAGCACTGAAGGGAAATACGTGAATCTTGTCCGTACATCTTCTGCAGGTATTTCGAGTGACTTTTGGTTCAAGATAGGACTTACCCGTTATTTCTTGAGAATACAGCTATAAGGACTCCGGAGGCAGAAAACAGAGTCAAAATTCTCAAAGAATACAGGCGCATGCTAACGGGATCTGGAACCCAAGGAGAGCTGGACAGAAGGACAGCAGTTTTGGCCGGCGTGGCTTTACTTACAGGAATGTTGATGAAGACGGAATCGAACTCTGCCGCCGTCAGGAAGCGTTTCAGGGGGGCCATGAAATACTGCCGGAAAAGGGGGGGGGTTAGACATGGCGCCGCCACGTCGAGACGGTGGGTTTCTACCAGGAGACAACAAATCTTTACTGAAAGTCCGCTGTTTATCAGTATTGCAAATACCCAAGAAAAAGCAGAAACTATATTTTCTCTCAAAGATTTTACACTTGAACAGAGATAGAAAGAATTAAAAAAATACAAGTTAATACATTTAAAGTACAAAATACTTTGGGTGGTCAGCGCACAAGGGAATAGACACATGATGTATTATCAAATTGTACAACTGAAACTCGTTATTAACCGATGTTACCCCAGTAAATTTAATTTGAAAATAATAATAATAAATAAGCAAAATTAAAGGCTTAGGCAATACATGTGTCCAAAAGTAAGAGAAAAAGAAACTTCTCCTGGCTGAATTGACAAAAAATGGCAACGTGTTGGGAGTTATCTTTGAGGATGGATGCAAAATACCCCTCAAACCTTATGCACGGAGTCTAGATCCCTGAGACCAACCATCTGCTCATGCAGCTTATGGATCACCCCCTCACTCCTTGAGAACTGTGGTTCTGGTCTATCATATCACTCTGCATTACTACCCGTCTTCTTTCTTGGCAGCCTCAGCATCTGCACAGATGATCCTCCAAATAGCCTGGCCTCCAGTTCCTTGACCTGCAGTAACCTTGTGCTCCTTCCTCGCTCTGCTCCCTACTCCTGTGGTCGTATCTCAAGACCTTATCATCACCAACAACTGCAAATGCTCCACAGCGTTCATTTCAAGCAACCAACTCTCAGACTGCTACCTCCTACCTTTGCCGTTCATTCCTTCAAGGAACTCTTCAACCCCATTGGGTCTACTCACCCTTGACCACTCCGTAGCCCTCATGTGCTCACTTCCCTCCTTATCCAGTTGACATTCCATTAACCATTATCAAAATCAGTTCCCTGCATATCCCTTACTCTCTTGTCTTCTACTGTACTTTCCTGGAAAAAGAAAAACCCTGCTTAAATCTAGTTTGCCACCTATGCTGTGCCTGGACTGAAGAAGTTAAACGTGAACTATGCTGATAGTCTGATTTTAAATATAATCACAAAACTTAATTGGATCTGTAATGCTATAAAATCCTACTAACTTCCCCTAGTCAAGGTTACTCTCTCATTTTCCTAAACAACCCTCCCACAGCTTCATCTCTTTTTCTGATGTTCCAAAACTTTCTCCTGGTTCTCATGTCCCTAATCTGTAAATGTGGGAGTCATCGGAAGTCACCTCAAACATCTGTTCTGTCAACATTCATTCCTGAGGTGCTCTCAACAAGCTAGCCCTGTGACCTTAAACAACCACTGCATGACAATGGTCCAATCTGTACGTCAACCCAACTTTTCCCCTCCGTGCCAGATTCACTAACTTCCTCCTCGACGCCTCTCCTTGGAAGCTAACAGGTATCGCAAATCCGCTATGTCTCAACAGGCACGTGATTGCCGAGCCTGTTCTTCCCCGTCTCTGTCACTGTTTTTGCCTTTCAGACAGTTGCTCAGCCTAAAAACCTAGCATTCCTGGCACTGAAATTTTTTAACTGATCAAGAGAAAGAGAGGGAGATCATCTGTCGTTCCACTTATTTAAGCACTCATTGGTTAATTCTCATATGCGCCCTGACTGGGGATCGAACATGCTGCCTTGGCATACGGGGACAATGCTCTAAACAACTGAGCTACCCAGTCAGGGTGAAACCTAGCTTTCTTGATTGCGCTCTTTGCCACACAGCCTTTACCTGATTTATCACCAAATCCACTTGGCTCTAATTTCAAAATTTACTCAGAATCTGACCACCCCTTATCGCTCTACCAACACCACCATTTTCTCACCGTGGCTTCTACAACAGCCTTCTAACTTTGCTCCCAGTTTCCACCCTTGCCTGACAAGAGACAGAATGAGCTGTTAACAACCCCTGTTAAATTACGCCATTCCTTCCACTCCAAACACTGCAGCTTTGAGCTGGATGCCCCGTGGGCCGGGCTCGCTGCTCCCGGCGCTCATTCCGCGTCAGCCACCGGGACTGTCTGTCGTGGCTCCTGGAAGCACACTGCACACTGTCCCATCCCAGGGGCCTTCTCCCAGCAACTGTCGCCTCTGAGAGACCCGCAAGGCTCCATCCCTTAATTCACTCAACCGTCTGCTTAAATATGCTCTTAGAAACCTTCCATTACCATTTGATATAAAATAATACCAGTTCTCCCCTGTCACTCTCTGTCCCCTTCCTCTGCCCTAGTTTCTTCAGAGAATTTATTACCACTTGGCATACTTATTTGCTTCAATTATAAACCATTCTATGACAGAGAACCAGAGCTCTATCGTGTTCACTGCCATATTCTCAATCCCTAGGCTGGTGCCATTTAGATACTAAAATCAATACATAAATAGTTGTGGGGGGATTAAATCTGCTTTAAGATCTACAAATCCAAAGTTCTACTGAAAACCAGAATACGCACACAGCAGAAACACTGAGCCTAATATATGGACAACATAATGCAGCACTGGGGCATCAAGAATGATACCTAATTGTCAATACTCACTTTTTCTATTGACTCCAATGTTTCTGTATATTTTTCTTCCGTCTGCTTGATTTCTGCTAGGCAGCAACTTCGTATGTCATTTTCTGGACATTTCTGCGATTAGAATTATCTAATTATTATTATTTAATCAAATTCACGTGTTAACCTCTCTGGTAGTAGCTAGGAAGAGATCAAAATTATTGCTGATTTTCTTAAGGTTTCTATTTCAAATGACGCACAGGGCTGACGCCCCTCTTCCCCTCTGGCAGAAAGAGGGGGGCGGTCAGTGGAGGGGGCAAAGCAGGGGAAAACGCAGAGACTTTGCGTGGGGCGATGGCCACACGATGCAGTGCGCAGATGATGTGTTACGAGTTGCACACTTGAAACCTATATGGTTTTCAATGTCACTCCAATAAATAAAACACAAAATAAAATAAATAAAAATGATTGTATAGTAATAGAAAAAAATAACTGTAAGACCAGTGTAGTTATAACTCTATACCCATGACTTGTTATTGCATATGGAGCCATAGAAACATGGCATTTTACAGGTCAAAATGACCAAGGGGAATCTCTGGCCTAACTTTCATTTTCCCAGTAAGGAAACCAAGGAACATAATTTCAGGGACTCATGAAATTATATTGTTTTGAAAGAAAATCTTCTCTTAGAACACAGGTAAATATTCTTTAAATCTGATGTAGCGTCAAATACACATATAATGAGCAAAGGTAAGAAAGAAAACACTATCCCAGCAGAAGTTACATAAACAATTATACTGAGTCTTTCAAATAATCGCTTTGCTAATAAAATACCCAAAGTAACTTAAAAACCAAGGCAAGTGGAAGTCCTACAGGCTGATGTGCTTCCTCCGCTTTCATCAAGTCCTCGTAGACTTCCCCGCCCTCGTCTTCGCCATAAACGCAGTCGTAGAAACCCTCCTCATCCTCCACGTGTGTTTCGCTGGAACAAAGGGCACAACAGAAAGATCATTGTCTACTAGGACGTGCAAGAGCTAGAAACAGCATCGTGGGTTCTGGTAGGAAATCCAGAAAGGAGACAAAATGGAACCAGTGGCAAGAGCCAAGGCTTCCCCCACGGCTCTGTCCGTCCTCCCAGGAACGGCGGCGGCGGCGCTAGCGCCCACTGCACGTTCACTACGCACAGCACATCCGCGGATGACTCTGCAGACATTCCCCACCGAGCGCCCCCGGGCCCAGGCGGACGTTCTTAGGGGTCCGCTATCGAGATGAAGACTGTGAGAGAACAAAACGGCATCGGACGTGCCCACGACAACACAGCTAGTCAACAGCAGGCCCAGGACCTAAAAGAGACAGCCTCACGCTCTGAATGCTTCACTCACTCTACCCATGGGTATAACATGGAGAAGGGGGAGGCTTCAGAGGCTCTAATACGTTACAAACAGTCTTTTAAAAGCATCGGGTTCTGCAGGGCTATCAGGGCCAACATCTCCTGCGGTGGATTTCCAGTTCCCTTCAGACGGCAGCCACAGGTCCCGCCTGAGCCAGGTCCCGCTTTTATCTGTTTTACTTGTATTTTGTTTAAAGGGATGGTCCCGAGGCTGCAAGGCAGTTTTAAAAGCCATTTCACATCTCTCCCTGGTCTCTTGGCCGTTGAAAATAATCCCTGCCTTTAAAGCTTCCCCGGGCACTTGCCCAGCATCTGACTGACACATCTTCCCTAAGCCCCTCACATGAGACTGTAAACCCATTCGGTCAGAGTAGGAAGCGCGGCGCCGGCCTGCGTGGCGCAGGTGGCTGGAGCATCGTTCCACGCACCAGAAGGTTGCAGCTTCGACCCCTGGCTGGGGCACCCACGGGAGGCGAACGATTGGCATCTCTCTCCCTTTCTCCCTCCCTCCCTCTCTCTCTCTAAAAGCAATGAGAGAACACGTCCTCGGTGAGGATGAAAAAAAAGAAGTAGGAAATGCCGTTCCCACCCGTCCCATGTTCTCCTTAAGCGCCTCCTTTCAGCTCAAGATTTCTGTCAATAGCTTCTATTCACCGATGATGCCAAAGAACTGAGATTCATAAGTTTAGATATTTCAGAAGCCTTCGCATCTCTCTAAAAAAGAAATGCGCTCCTTCAACACTGCCAGGCCTCAGCACCTCGCTGGGGCCCGTGCGCACAGAGCGTGATAAACGGACAGGTACAAAAATACAGACACTGGAACTGTGAATGCCACGTGCAGCCGGGAGCACATTTCAAAGCAGAGGCATCCACATGGTTGTCTGTGCTTCGCAGGGAGGGTTCTCTGGAGACGCTGGACAGACACGGACTGTCGGACAGCAGGAGGAACGGGCAGAGGTGTTAGGGGAGCGGCTGCTGGAAAGAGACGTTCAGAGGACTCTGCTCAGAGGAAAACGCGCTCCAGGGTTACCTGTGCACCTGTGCACCTGTCCACCCACCCCCGCCCAACAGACATTCCTCAGGACCTCCTGCGTGCGGACTCTGCAGTGCCAAGCACGCCCGGGCCGAGCAGATTCAAGGACGCCGCCGTGGCCCGGTGTGAACAGCCCGCGGTACACGGCTCCGTCTGCGCGGCACGGGCTGAGCGTGGCCTGCGGGCCGAGCGGGGAGGGAGGAAAACCCTGCCTGGGCGGTCAGGGGCAGCTTCCCAAAGACACCGCGTCTGGATGTAGGCATCAGTTTATTCAACAGGCATTTGCGGAGTGAACCCCAGGTTCCACAGCTGCGGCTGCAGAGGAGGCAGGCGCAGTTTCTGCCCTCGGAGGGGGCGCGCTGACACGGGGGGCGATGCGCATTCCAGAGCAAGGACCCCGATGCCCGCGGAGACAGAGAGGCCTGAAGAGCCTGGCTACGTGAGGAGGGGCGTCCCCTCTGGTGTGACCAGGCGAGTGGAGGGCCCCGGAAGGCAGAGCTGAACCCACACTGAGCAGCGCCTTGCACGGCGGGAGCTGGGCCTCCCCTGTACCGGGGGAATCGACGGGGGTCACAGAAGGCCGTGTGCAGGGGGCGAGGGCACAGGCAGGGACGCCCAGGGGCCCGGAGATGGAAGGCTGTGCGGGAGAGAGACTGAGAGCCACGACCAGGCGAGGACAGACAGCCTCAGGACACAGCGTCGCCCGTCAGCCCGGCTGGGTGACCCAGGCGAACCAGGGAGAGAGGGGAGGGGAGGGCAGCGTGCCCCCCAGCTTTCTCTGTTGGAAAGCTGGGGAGGTGGGCGGTCGTGTTGGCCGTTCCAGAACTTCTGCCCCGAAGGGCACAGGCAGGCAGCGTAGCTGGAGAACAGTTAAAGTGGTCGGAGCCCTTCCCACAACCCATCAAAGCCCAGGAAAGTCTGCTGAGTTCAGGAGGGGGCTGCCTGAGGGAAGGAACGGCGAAGGACCATCGAAGGGGACCCTGGGGAAGGAAGACAGGCTGTGAAACCCGTTCCTGCGGGTGGTGTCCCATCTCCGCTGTGCTGCCTGTGACCCTCTAAACACCCACCCCCACCAGCGCCCCTGCCAAAAGACGCCTCATCTTGCTGAAGAAGTCCTGCTTCTCACTATTTCCCATGAGGGTAGAGAAACATCACATATAAATGCTCACAGATTTTCTCTAAGAAATGTAGGAGTCACGCACACAGAGGCTGTGCTAGAACAGTCTAGGTTTCCTTATTCAACCCTGTGCTAAAGCTGTTTTGGTCGCCAACGGTTTGGTCAGTAATTTGTGATCTGTGTAAAATAAAGCAGCGGGGAAGGGCTGAGCTGTGATTCTTCACGTGGTCAATAAATCTCCGTGTGTCTTGCTGTGTCCAGGCCGCCTATACATGGGCGTGGCTGACCCCCGACCTGAGAGAAGCTACCCAACGCAGCCACGCTCCGCCTCTTTCCTGCCTCTGCTCCCCTCCCTGCAAGGCGACAGGGGTTCTCTCCGCAGTGGGGCGCAGGCCCATGTTGGTTCCCGGGGTTTCCCTGTGGGCAACTCACCCCTGGAAGTTAGAGTTCATGAGCCCGCAGAAATCGTAACAAAGCTAAGACTGAAAACCAAGCTGTCAGAGCAAACTCGGAAGCCCGCACGGGCGTGACTAACACCACAACCGGACCGCCCGGCCGCCACGTGCACCGCTGGAGCGGACCGCACCCCTCAGAGCAGGAGCTGGCATCTCAGAACGGCCGCAGCAGGAGCCCACGTTTCCTCCATACTTAGCTAGGAACGCGAGCTCGCTGATTTATCGGATATCCACAGATCAAGATGTGGGAAAACTATAAAAATTAGGGATATGTGACACCGGAGGGTTTAAGAAAGAACGTCATCATAGCACTAGAAAAGATACGTTCCTTCCAATACTCTGAGGAATGTATGCGGCCAGGAATCCTACAGTCCCTTTAGGAAGAGAGTAGCCAATTCAATGAGACAATTCGCCACTATCCGGCTTAAGATTAGCGAGTTCTCGGAGATCTGAAGAAGGGAAAAGAAGCTATTCTTAGTACACATTTAACATGTACGACTTCAAGGACCCTCCAGATGCCATCTGCCCTGGGCAGAGCTGCTGGCCACGTGGTGGCTCCGTCAGCCCCCTGCTCCCCCGCTCCCCACTGACAGTCCTCAGAGGGGCGAATTGGGAGTCAACACACAGCGAGTAAGGGCCCCCGTTCCGGAATGAGGACTATCTCGTTCAAGTCCAAAGACGACTACTTACTAACAACATGACCTTCAGCAAGTTACTTAGCTTTTCCAGGTTCAGTTTGTAAGTTGTGATGGTACCAGTAACAACGTCATCATGTGGAATCACACGAGATCCATGCATGGATCATGGTCAACATGAAATGGGCACGTTATAAGCCCTATGCACTGACTCAATAGCTCCGACCAGAAGCATAACGCCTGGCAAATAGGAGGTGCTTCATGCAGCTTTGGCTTATTTGTTCCGAAAAGAAATATTTCCTGCAGACCTACTACACACCAGACACTAGAGGAAGTGCTAGGAAGACAGCCAAGAACAAGGTCAAGTCCTTACCTCACCAAGTTGACCCAGTGAGGAGACAGACAATGGAAGCAAACAGAGACTGTCTCAGGCAGGGATGAGCGCCGTGAAAACGCAGAGGCGTGGGGGCCGCTCTGGACGGGGGCACCAGGAAGGCCTCACTGTCGAGGGTCATCTGAGCAAAGACTCGGATGACAAGGGGTCAGCCACACGGGCAGAAAGAACAGCAAGTATAAAGGTCCTACAGCAAGACAGCTCAGCGTGTTGATGTATCAGGGCAGAAAGGTGGATGAACCTGCACAGGATCTGAACCTCTCTTGGAGCATAATCTATTTCTGATCACAATTCTCTGCACATATGCCTGATCTCTGTCACTGGCTCCTGGACGAGTGAGGATCGTGTTCTGTTTTTATTTGTCATCTGCATGAGTCACTCCGTCAACAGATAATGATCAGCTGCCAGGTCCTTTGGCCTCTCCTGACTATTAAATAATAAAGCCCAAGCCCTGGCTGGTGTGGCTCAGCGGACTGAGGGCTGGCCTGCGAACCAAAGGATTGCCAGTTCGATTCCCAGTCAGGGCACGTGCCTGGGTTGCGGGCCTGATCTCCAACAGGGGGCGCATGAGAGGCAACCACACATTGCTATTTCTCTCCCTCTCGTTCTCCTTCCCTCCCTCTCTGTCTAAAAATAAATAAATAACATCTTAAATAAATAAATAAATAATAAAGCCCTGAAGGAGTCTCAGTTCAGATAAGCGCCATCCGAGGACACATCCCCGGATAACATCAGCCCACACAATTTCGCCCGTCCGTGAACTGCCAGAGCACGCACCGCCTGTCCCACAGCTCCCAGACTTGAGTCCATCCACCACCGCATTGTTCCTCGAGTGTCTGATTCCCCTTTTCTCTACGGCCTCTCCATGTCTTTGAGAGACTCCAGGTTTTACGTCACGGCAGGATGCCCCTTGACTCGCCCCAGAGACTCATGCACCGTGGGTCACGGAACAGCAACCAAACGCCATTTGGGGTGCGTTTTTTCGTGACACTTTCCACCATGAGCCTCAGGCAGACCCTTATATGCCTTCATCCTGAGGCCACTTCCTCCCCCCACCCCATCCCACAGAGCTATTTCAGCAGCCACCGTCACCATCCACAAAACATTGCCGGAAAGCCTCAACGTACTCGATTAAGTCGGGGAGGGCTTTGTAGATGTCGTCATCGTTGACACTTTCCTCTGTCGGGAAGGGCCTGCGAGGGAGGGAAGAGAAAACCAAGGGTGAAAAGCAATGTCTGGGCAGGGCATTCACCTCGCGTGAGACGTGTCGGCCCGTCTGCTGCCAGCGTGCTCAGACCAGCCTCGGTGTCTGATGCCGCGCCTGTCCCCCAGGGAGGCCACGGCATCTGCTGTCCCTGTCGCCGGCCGCATTTCTGCAGGTGGGCACAGTCCTCTGAGAGCTGTGGGCCTGCTGCGTGCTCGGCGGATGCCCGCCAGCCACAGGCCTGAGGGCTCGCCTCACGGCCCCGCAGCCCCCTCCCCTCCACAGAGCAGGCCTTGCCTCTGCACCAGCTCTTCTCACTGTGGAGTCCACTCCGACTGGCAAGTAAGGGGGCAACAAGCACCGTGGACAAATAACTGGGTAACAACCTAATCATGAAAACTATTAGAAGACAAAAATGCCGTGCCATGTATATGTGTGTGTGTGTGTGTGTGTGTGTGTGTATATATACATATATATATATATTTGATTATTGACATAGATATGATTATTAACTCTGATCTACTTTTTTTACTTAGTCTTTCAGGTATTTAAGTTACGTGTTTTATTTTCAATTACTGGATAAATGAATCAACAGGACCACAGGGAGAGTAGGGGGTTTTCTCTGCCCCCTGGTCAAAGAAAATCGTGTTAACTGATCCCCTGTTCCCAGCCACAGGCATCCCTGTGTGCCTCATGCTCCTGTGAGGGTTTCTGTAACCCTCACATAATGCGGTAAGTTATGTCTAACAGAATCACAGTAAGTATAGTACAGTGCCAAAGTTTTACTCTTTTTTTACATGCAGCCAGCATGTCATGTTTCACAAAAACAAGAGGGTCTATCAAAATAACAAATAAGCACTGGATAATTATGAAATAATTATATTTAATAGAAAAAGCAGATTTTTCACCTTAGTTTATGGATTAATACTTAAGGCATTTGCAAAGTCCACATTTTTTTCAAGTAAATTAAAATGTGTCAGAAATGCCAATGTTTCAAAATCTTTTAAAAAATAAATGTAGGCTCTTATACCAATAAAGGTCCACTGCAGGAAATTTTGAAAATATAGATAAGAATGATTAAAAAGGAAAAAAATTCTTCTGATGTATATTCTTTCAGAATCAAAAATACATAAATACCCAAATCTAGAATCATGCTCTTTCAAAATCTGATGTTTACATATAACAACATATCATATACTAGCATGGAAAGTATATGTTATGTATTAAAGGGCAAATTGCAAGGCATTGGATATTTGTCCTGCCTACAGACTACTTCTGTGTAAAGCTGCTACGCTCGCAGCCCATTTCTGAGAAAGGGTCTGCAGGGTGTCCTCCCTGAGCTCGCCGCGCGTGTGCAGGGACAGGGCTGCTCAGCCCTGTAAGGCACGCTCGGACCCTCTTCCTCGGAGTCTGGACGTGAACTGCACACGGAAAGAAGGAAGCAGCAGAGGGAGACACTCGGGGCACAGCCCTGGCGACTGGAGCTCTGGGGAAAGGAGGCAAAAAGCAAAATCCGCTCCGTCACCACGCAGGCTGGCTATGTGGCCGCTGAAATTGTTTTTCTTTATGTCTGATGTTATTAATAAGACACCTTTCTACCTGATCTCACTTAAGCATGTAGTATGTTATGCAGAAAAAGCCCAACGTGCCATCCACACCTGTCTGTCTATGCTTTCTGACTGCATAACACTTCGTTGCCTGGAGACGGCAGAATACATTTAACTAATTCACTTCCAAGTTCTTCGTTTAGTACCAAGCATTCAATACAAATCCTTGTACCTACATCATTATTTGTCTGATTATTTCTTAAACTCCCAAAGTTGTGAGTTATTATTATAGTCTACAGGAAATAAATGTATTATAATGTCTTTTAAAATACTTAAGCATGTGTGTTTGCTTGATGAATCACATGTATAGAAATGTTGGAGGAAGTTTTTAAAAAAGAACCGTATCAGTGATAGTTATCAGTAAAATGGGAATAATGTTCAGCCAATGTGTCTCACTCAACTCTATGAGTAAGTTTTTACCTACTCAGTGAGTTTCAAATGAGCACCTATATACGACATGGCAGCCTGTATGAATGAGGTGCAGTCCTGGTATGCAACATGCTTTGCAAACAGTAACAGTTCAATAAGCAATTGTTACACTGAACATGAACCACAGAGAAACAAGCTTACCTGATGCCTGTGGCCAACGCTATAGGTGTTCGAGAGAGTCGTGATAATGTTTCTATCACCTGAGAAAAGAGGGAAGCATTCATTGAACATGTATTTCAGAAAGGATAAGTGTTTTTCCCCAAAACAGTAGTTTTACAATCTGACATTAACAATGGCAGCAGAAATGTAATATTTGCAGGTGCCAAAGGGATGCAGAATGGGAAGAGCGGCGCCTGGACAGTATAAACACCTGGGTTATTCTCTTGTGCCTTTGTATAGCTTTCCGACTCTAAGATCACTAACCCATGTGGCGTGCATTTTCCTTAGCAGTAAAACAAGGAGTTAGACCAGGTAATCCTAAAGGTCTTGCATCTCTGCTTGCACAGAATCTCAAAGATCCTGTAAAGCTAGACTGTCCAAAACAGGAGTCACTAGCCATAGGAGGCTATGTAAATTTATGTTGATTAAAATTTTAAAAACAAAAGTTCCTAACTTGTACTGGTCACACTTCAAGTGCTCAAGAGCCACACAGACATCAAACATTTCCATAATCACAGAAAGTTCCACCAGAGAGCAAAGTGACTTAGTGTGTGGGCTCTTGAGCCAGACCACATGGGTTCGAATCCCAGCTTTAGCACTTATTAACCATATAATCTTGGACAAACTACTTCACTTCTCAGGGCTTCAGTTTTTTCATCCGGATGTGGCATACAGTAATAGGTTATTAATAGTCATTAGATTATTGTAAGGATTAAGAGGATAACACAGGTAAAATATTTCAATGGTAACTATTCTCAAAAATCTCCAACTCTAAGAAAATTATCTTATTCTGAGTGTTTTCAGGAAAAGGAGTTTCTCAAATTACCCTTGCTTATCTGTACCTGTTTCAAAGGCTCCTTAAGAAGATGTACCCGCTGTGATTGCAGCATTAGTATCTTAAACTTTGACCCTCCTCCCTACTCTTACATCTAAGAGCATCTCCTTGAAAGACTTAGTGAGAAAATCACGTGTACTTTTTGCATTACAAACATAAACCACAATGAAGAAAAGAACATTGTAAAATGATGGGAAGACCACAATGCCCACCCAAATGCTTAATTGAATAAAGGTGAACTTTTATTATCATAAAAAATAAAATTAGCATTCCATACAAATAAAATTTACTTGAAAGCCTTTATGCATTGTCTTCCTAGTTTGGCCTGTTCAACATTAGATGTAAAAGCAAGACAGAACCACCGAGGTAAAACTTGAGTATCAGTTAATTTCCCATAATAAAGATAAAGCAACTGCAGGGAATCTGTAAAATCAGAAGATTACACATAAATAATAAGGGTATCAAAATAAACTGATTTAAGATAAAGATTGTCATGTGCTAAAATCCCAAGATTATGCATCATTGAGTGAAAAGTCTAGCTTTCGGAAGGTTCTGGAATAACCTGTGAAGTAGCATTTGGAATCCTGAATTACTAGGTTGCTGGAGTTTTGCACGAGCCTTATGCCGACGTGGCACCGGTTTAAAGCTGGGCGTGAATTCTGCCCCTGCTCCTGCTGGACACTCAGCACCCAATCACAAGACAAATAGTATTGCTATGTATTTTACTATTACTATTGTTTACTTTCACAGAAATGTATTTTATTCCCTGGGGAGATTTTTGGTAACAATGATCATGCATCTACAAGACAAGAATGCCTTTCCTGTTCCTTTTGCTACCAATAACCTGAAGTAGTCACAATCCGCTCCCCCTGCTCCCCGACAAAAGACTAGTTTGATCTTTTTTCATATCATCGTCCACCAGATGGAGCCAGACAATAGTACTATCTTACTTTCCTCCTGCACTGAATGACTTTATAAAGTACAAACATTTCTGACAATCAAGAAGCTGAAAGGAACTCCTGTTATTTCTTTAAAAGGAGCACTCATCGCTTTTTAGTAATACAAAAATAACGAAGACACAAATTCAGAGCAGGGGAGGACGGAAAGATGACACGTAGCGTGTCCTAGCGGAGCCCTCTCCGAGGACTCTGTCTTGGTTCCGTGTCGGTCTGGTCATCCATGGAACCTATCCATTACCTGTAAGTTTAGCCAAAGCAAACAGAGGCTGTTTAGTTGACGGGGCGTTTGTAGAATAGAGTGTGTTCCGCAAAGGTGGAGTGATCCGGATTTGGAAGAGACAAGTACGTACATCGGCGCGAGACCCTCCGGTCCCCAGCGTGGAGGCGGACCTGCTGTCCGAAACACCTATGCAAGAACATTTACAGAATATCCCCAAAGACGGTGGGAAGACTCTTTTCCCTGAAATACATTCATTTCTAAATTCACCTCAAAACAAGATGAAATTATGGACGTAACTCCCAGAAAGGCCGGTAAGTAGTCAGAATATTTGCAAGGCAATAGGCCAGCAACCAACTACTAAACCCACATCCCAGATTTCCTCTCTTTACCTATGTCTATCTCTTGTGGGATAAGAACAGTGACATCTGTAAAGAAATGACAACGGTCCTGGATGACATAAATAAGAATTAGCGTGGAAGGAAGGAGGAGAGGTGGGCAGGACTGCCCTGCGCCTTAGAAAGGTGGATTGGACTCCAGACACTACGAAGGATCATGGGAAATGCTTGAGAAGGAGGGTAGCAGGGTCAAAACTGCATTTTTAGAAGATCACTCAGCAAAGCGAAGGGCAGGCTCGGTGGGAGGATCTGGGGTGCAGACCAGGCCCCAGGAGATGCGCGAGGGGGTGCTGGCAATCGTCCAGGTGAGAAATAGGAAGCCTGAGCTGAGGCGGTGGCTGGAGAGAGAGAGAGGCGACAGGTGAGAAGTGGTCAGCACAGTGGCTGGGCCCTGCAGAGGGAAGGAGAACCCAGGACAGTCTGGGCCCGCGGTTAGAGCAGTGGAGGCGGCCAGCTCCCCGCCACCAACCACCGGAAAGCCTCCGGGGGTCTCCCAGCAGGAAGCCCTCAGCCCCTCTGGGCCCCTCCCTGTGGCCGACCAGGTAGATCCTGAGCTCACCACGCCGCCCCTCCTCCAGAGCCTTCTCTGCCTCCCTCCTCCAGTCTGGGTCCTTTGTGTCCGCAGGGGACTCTGCACATCACTCTGCCCTAGCACTTGTCACCTTTTATTTGCTGTTTAAAATATTTCAAAGGGACTCATGGTTATTTTGTCAAGATGAATCAATACGGTAACACATAAGCGTTGCCCCCCGCCCCCGCCCCAACCTCTCCCACCCTCTGCCGAAAGAAGACCAGAGCTAAGCGCCGCATGTGACCTCTGCAGAGTCCTTCTGTTTCTTTACACTTACTATTTCAGGTAATGTGTTCCTCGTAGATTTTTCGACAACATGCTTCTTTTCATTTAACGGTATGTCACAGGCAGCTGTGTCAACACGCAGAGATCTCCTTTGTTCATTTTAATGTTGTATAACATTTCACGTGTGTAACACAACCATTCAACCATTCTCCTACCAATGAGCCTTTCAACATTCTGCCACCAGAGTAATGCTGTGATTACCGTCCTTGCCCACGAGCTTCTCAGTCATGTGCAGGCGTTTCTGCAGGAAAGGTTCTTAGGTGGGATGACTAGAACAAAAGGCGTGGCCATTGCTCTTCGAATTTCTCGGCCCCCAAAGAGTCTGTAAGAACGTAACAAGGCTTTCTGATGACCTGTTTGTCTGTCTGTCTTTCCCCATCTGACAATGGAAAATATCTTATGGGCAGGGAAATCAAATTGCTCCTTTATTGTTCTATCCCCTTCCCCAAGTACAAAGCCAGGCTCATGACAACCACTTAACACGCAGATATTTGTTGCTCAAACAAATGAATGACTAATACTTACCTTGTAGAAACCGTTGTGAAGATTAGGAACTGCCGTGCAAAGCTTTGTAAACGGCTTAGCCTGGCATCAGTGGGGAATGAGTGAATAATTGCAAAAGGGGCCCGTGCACAAATTAAACAGTAAGTATGAGACAGAGTTGCCTCTCTCTTCAAACCAAAGATAACACAGCAGCAAGATGCTTCTCCCCGATTAAATGTTTTCACCCTAATGACCATTTTTATTGAGTTTCATCTCTTTGTTTTGTTTTTACCCTCCCCCCTGGTCTAAACACCAGGAAAGAAGTTTTCTGCAACAAAATGGCTACACTGTACATGATGCTCAAAGCCGCCCGTTTCAACTCCGCACTTCATGAGACCTTCTGGTCAATTCTCACTGCAGCTTATCTAGCACAGCGGAGCTGAGGCTGTAAACTGTAATTAAAACAAGCCCGCCATGCAGGAGCTGCATGTTATGGCTACTTCGAAGGTCTTGAGTGAAAGGAGCCGGGGCCAGAGAGAACAACAGGAGGGAACCGTGGGCCCGGCACACAGGTCCACCCAAAAGCGCGGGCTCCCTGAGGATTTGTGCCCCCCGGTCCTCTCCCTGACCCAGTGGAAAGGTTCTTGAACAGGGAGCTGGGCTGGGTAGGAGCTCCCCGTAAGACTCGCTTCCCCAGGAACTCAGGGGGCCCCCAGGGGGCTGCAGGCTTGAGCCCCAAGTTCAAGTTCAGCTTCGCAGTCCAAGAAGGGCCTGCCGCACGGAAGCCCCAGAGCACGACGTGACCGCCTGGCAGGTGCCGCTGGGGCAGGGACTCTGCATCACAGACCCACAGGCGCGGAGCAGGTGCCCTGTGGGTCGCGGAGGAAAGGCCTGGGCCCCGGAGGGTGGACGTGGGTGAGGTGTGGGTCCGGGGTGCTGGGCTGAGTGATTCAAACAGAAGGACAGGCCTGCAGCCGAGGTCAGGGCAAGGCAGAGGCGGCCCAGAGACCCGGGGGCACCCCTGGCACCCCGACGCCGGATTAGTTCTCTGGCAGTGAGACCTAATTCTAAACCCAGCCAGAGGGCGAGGTTCAGACTGACCATCATTTCACCTTACCTCTCCCAGGAAATCGGCAGAGCTCATTATCTTCCTTCTCTTTGCAACTCGAATTTCACAGAGTAAATTATCCCATTAGGATACATCGCAGCTTTGTGTCCTTTCTAGACACGTGTTTTAAGATCTTTCCTGAAACACCTGGTTGCTATTCTGAATACTGTAGGATGCTGTTGGAA